ATATTGTTGGTGGACTACAAATCTCTCTGGACATCACAAGCCATGTGGCAAGTCCTTACTATAGGCATGATATTACTTTGATATTGTGTTGTACTACAAGTCTCTCTGGACATCGCAAGCCTCATGACAAGTCCTTACTGTAGGCAAGATATTACTTTCATATTGTGGTGGGCTACAAGTCCTTCTGGACATCGCAAGCCTAATGACAAGTCCTTACTGTAGGCAAGATATTACTTTGATATTGTGGTGGGCGGCAACAAATCCCTCTAGATATTAAAAGCCCTGACGGAAGTCCTTATTATAGGCATGATATTACTTTGAAATTGTGGTGGACTACAAGTCTCGCTGGACATCACAAGCCCTGTCGCAAGTCCTTCCTATAAGCATGATATCATTTTGATATTGTGGTGGATTACAAGTCTCTATGGATATCAAATGCCATAATGGCAAGTCCTTACTATAGGCATGATATTACTTTTATATTGTGGTGGTCTAAAAGTCTCTTCCTATACACATGATATTACTTTGATATTGTGGTGGACTAAAAGTCTCTCTGGATATCAAAAGCCATGTGGCAAGTCCTTACTATAGGCATGATATTACTTTGATACTGTGGTGGACTACAAGTCTCTCTGGACATCACAAGACATAATGGCAAGTCCTTCCTATAAGCAAGATATTACTTTGATATTGTAGTGGACTACAAGTCTCTCTGAACATCACAAGCCATAATAGCAAGTTTTTCCTATACGCATGATATTACTTTGATATTGTGGTGGACTACAAGTCTCTCTGGATATCAAAAGCCATTATAGCAAGTTCTTACTATAAGCATGATATTACTTTGATATTTTGGTTGACTACAAGTCTCATTTGACATCACAAGCCATAATAGCATGTTCTTCCTATAAGCATGATATTACTTCGATATTGTGGTGGACTACAAGTCTCTCTGTATATCAAAAGCCATGTATCAAGTCCTTACTATAGACATGCTATAAATTTGATATTGTGGTGTACTTCAAGTCCATATGGAAATCACAAGCCCTATTACAAGTCCTTACTTTAGGCAAGATATTACTTTGATATTGTGTTGTACTACAAGTCTCTCTGGATATCACAAGCCATAATAGCAAGTCCTTATTATAGGCAAGATATTACTTTGATATTGTTGTGTACTACAAGTCCTTCTGGACATCGCAAGCCTCATGACAAGTCCTTACTGTAGGCAAGATATTTCTTTGATATTGTTGCGTACTACAAGTCCTTCTGGACATCGCAAGCCTCATGACAAGTCCTTACTGTAGGCAAGATATTACTTTGATATTGTGGTGGGCTACAAATCCCTCTGGATATCAAAAGCCCTGACGCAAGTCCTTATTATAGGCATGATATTACTTTGATATTGTGGTGGACTATAAGTCTCTCTGGACATCACAAGCCATAATGGCAAGTCCTTACTATAGGCATGATATTACTATGATATTGTGTTGTACTACAAGTCTCTCTGGACATCACAAGCCATAATAGCAAGTCTTTACTATAGGCAAGATATTACTTTGATATTGCGGTGTACTACAAGTCCTTCTGGACATCGCAAGTCTCATGACAAGTCCTTACTGTAGGCAAGATATTATTTTGATATTGTTGTGTACTACAATTCCTTCTGCACATCGCAAGCCTCATGACAAGTCCTAACTATAGGCAAGATATTATTTTGATACTGTTGTGTACTGCAAGTCCTTCTGGACATCGCAAGCCTCATGACAAATCCTTACTGTAGGCAAGATATTACTTTGATATTGTGGTGGACTACAAGTCTCTCTGGACATCACAAGCCCTGTCGCAAGTCCTTCCTATAAGCATGATATCATTTTGATATTGTGGTGGATTACAAGTCTCTCTGGATATCAAAAGCCATAATGGCAAGTCCTTACTATAGGCATGATATTACTTTGATACTTTGGTGGACTACAAGTCTCTCTGGACATCACAAGCCATAATGGCAAGTCCTTCCTATAAGCAAGATATTACTTTGATATTGTAGTGGACTACAAGTCTCTCTGGACATCACAAGCCATAATAGCAAGTTCTTCCTATACGCATGATATTACTTTGATATTATGGTGGACTACAAGTCTCTCTGGATATCAAAAGCCATTATAGCAAGTTCTTACTATAAGCATGATATTTCTTTGATAATTTGGTGGACTACAAGTATCATTTGACATCACAAGCCATAATAGCAAGTTCTTCCTATAAGCATGATATAACTTTGATATTGTAGTGGACTACAAGTCTCTCTGTATATCAAAAGCCATGTGGCAAGTCCCTACTATAGGCATGATATTACTTTGATATTGTGTTGTACTACAAGTCTCTCTGGACATCACAAGCCATAATAACAAGTCCTTACTATAGGCAAGATATTACTTTGATATTGTTGTGTACTACAAGTCCTTCTGGACATCGCAAGCCTCATGACAAGTCCTTACTATAGGCAAGATATTACTTTGATATTGTTGCGTACTACAAGTCCTTCTGGACATCGCAAGCCTCATGAAAAGTCCTTACTGTAGGCAAGAAATTATTTTGATATTGTTGCGTACTACAAGCCATTCTGGACATCGCAAGCCTCATGACAAGTCCTTATTATAGGCAAGATATCACTTTGATATTGTGGTGGGCTACAAATCCCTCAGGACATCAAAAGCCATGATAGCAAGTTCTTACTATAAGCATGATATTACTTTGATTTTTGGTGGACTACAAGTCTCATTTGACATCACAAGCCATAATAGCAAGTTCTTCCTATAAGCATGATATTACTTTGATATTGCGGTGGACTACAAGTCTCTCTGGATATCAAAAACCATGTGGCCAGTCCTTACTATAGGCATGATATTACTTTGATATTGTGGAGGATTACAAGTGTCTCTGGACATCACAAGCCATAGTAGCAAGTTCTTTCTATAAGCATGATATTACTTTGATATTGTGGTGGACTTCAAGTCTCTCTGCATATTAAAAGCCATGTGGCAAGTCCTTACTATAGGCATGATGTGATTGACTACAAGTCTCTCAGGACATCACAAGCCATAAAAGCAAGTTCTTTCTATAAGCATATTACTTTGATATTGTGGTGGATTACAAGTTTCTCTGGATATCAATCCCATGTGGCAAGTCTTTACTATAGGCATGATATTACTTTGATATTGTGGTAGACTACAAGTCTCTCTGGACATCACAAGCCATAATGGCAAGTCCTTCCTATAGACAAGATATTACTTTGATATTGTGGTGTACTACAAGTCCCTCTGGAAATCACAAGCCCTATTGCAAGTCCTTACTATAGGCAAGATATTACTTTGATATTGTGTTGTACTACAAGTCTCTCTTGACATCACAAGCCAAAATGGCAAGTCCTTCCTAAAGGCAAGATACTACTTGGATATTGTGGTGTACTACAAGTCCCTCTGGACATCACAAGCCATAATGGCAAGTCCTTCCTAAAGGCAAGATACTACTTGGATATTGTGGTGTACTACAAGTCCCTCTAGACATCACAAGCCATAATGGCAAGTCCTTCCTAAAGGCAAGATACTACTTGGATATTGTGGTGTACTACAAGTCCCTCTGGATATCAAAAGCCCTATGGCAGGTCCTTACAACAGACATGATATTACTTTGATATTGAAACCTAATAAATTATCAGTTGAAATGAAAAAAATATTAAGTTTTAAGATTATCTTGCCGCTGCATTTTTTCTCCTCAGATGGTTTTTGGTGTTCCTTTTTTTGTTAATATTTTTAATTGTATTAAAGTCTTTAACGTTTTTACTTGCGGATATCAATATTGCTTTCATCATGTCAATCAAGAAATGTATTTTCGAAACATGGATATTCTGGTTCATCAACTTGGGTTTGGTATCTTGTAGTTTTGTATCCCAATATTTTAAACATTCAACTGATATTGATTTTCTTTGTGCCACCTTTCTGAGTAGTAAGATACAAATCATATAATTACGTTCGTCTGATAGTGACCTATACATGATATCATCCATGCATATAGGAAGCCTAGATAATATTGAAATGTTACAAAATACAGATTGTTAATTGTACGTTTGGGCAGTTGGCTCCCTCCTCCATCAGCTAGTAAGGTATAGGGAGTCTTTCGTGTCTAATTAGTTTACATGGGATTTGGAAAAGGGCTTACTAATAGGAATGATAGTAATATAAATTCATCATTCAAACATACATATATTTTCTCGGGGGAATTTGACGCAGATTTCTTCATCAAACATTATATGTTATTACAGCATAAAATAAACCAATCACTTCTTTTCCAAATTTAACTACAAATATCAATAAAAGGTGATGTAGAGTCGTATAGGGCAGTAATGTGATAATATTTCAACTACTCAAAATAACCAAAAGACATTTTGAGGTCAATCTCAAGTCCTCAAATATCTATATTGTAGTACTATATGTTATTGTTTGCCAAAACAACCTTTATTGTTTATCCCACAATATGCACTAAAATTATGTTCAAATATTTCGCCAACACTTACAATAGTTTTCCTGTAAAGAAATTCATATTCATGAAACGCGTTTATACTTTTTCAATGCTGATCAATAGAGTAAGGTTTCACATACAAAATTGGAATTATCAAATTTTAAATTAAGTGCAAACAAGAATCATGTTGCAAAAAAAATTAAAAATTGACAATCATGTAAATATTAGTTGTATTTAATGTCGATGTACTAAAATATTGCTTACCACTGCCTTTCACTAATGAGCCGACTCTTCGTCGAATCTATAACAAAATAGCAGTTTAGTACTGTAATGTATATCTATTCCGATGTATTTTGTATTTGTTTAAAACAAGATGATAGAACACTTTGTACTCATTACAGTTTTCTGAACTAACTGAAAAAGAAAGGCTTTCATTAATCTTTGTCATGCATAACTATTGCCATTTAATTCTTGTTTCATTGTAGATCCTCGTCCAATATACGTACCACCTGCACCGGCGCCCCCACCAACAACCACAACTCCCCCGCCTCCACCGCCAACATGTTATGATCAAGACAAAAATTGTAAACATTGGGGAGTTTATTGTACAAGTAATCCTTATGTTCACGATAATTGTCGCAAGACATGCAGTACCTGCACTATACCAATGCCACCTATAGGTAATATAGTCATATAAACGTGTTTGGGTGATAGCTTATAAGACCAGAATGTATTAGTAATCAAATGAAATTGCATGTAAATAGCAAATGTTCGAAATAAAATGAAGTTCTTACATAACTGTTGTACTTTCTCAAAGATGATAGACTTGTCTTAAACATAAAATATAAAAATAAGCTAATACTTGGCTTATAAAATCAGTGATTGTCGATCACGCTTACTTATTGTATATTATTTCAAGACTATCGGAAGTGGGTCTAAAACTACCGTTACCAATCAGATTTCATTGAAAAAAAAGATGCCACAGTTAACAAGGGCAATCAAAACTCCTGTCCATAAGTCGAAGAAAAACAGAAAAACCTTGCAAAAAAAGAAAAAACGAATAAAAAACAAACAAGTCTACAAAATAATACACAGAAAACCTTAGACTTAGTAACACAAGCACCAACAATAACCGGGGTGCTCCGGAAGGGTTGACAGATCATGCTTAGTTATCACTTTCCATGTGATGAACATAATATGATAATCTGGCTTTTTTTATCGTATTGACTATTTTGTTTTCTTTACAAAAACATTGTTTTTTAAGTCTATTACGATAACATCGGGTCAAATTTGAAAAAGGGATTTTTTTTATTGCTGAGAAGGATATACACTATATATAATGTAATATAAATGTAAATTTAGTTCTGTTATATTAGTAGTTCTTTTCCTGACTACTTAAACAATAAATGTGTCTTGTATTAGTATATATATTGATTTTGAAAAAAAATGTATTATCTATTGGTTTATAAAACACTCGACGATTTAATGCAACATACTGTTCTTTCAGTGCCAGAAAAAGTGCTTCACACAACTGCCACTCCAATGACAACTCCTCGGCCGTCTATAGTTCCTTCTAATCCACCATCACCAATCACAGCTAGAACTGATCATCATAGAAATCCAATGAGACATCCACCGAGAAGAACTCTACCACCACAAATGCACAATAACTATCCTACAACAACAGCAGCATATTATCCACAAACAACAGGGTTTAACCAGCAACAAGCACCAACGCATGTACCTGCACAAGGTGCACACGGTGTTCCTGGATTCGGACTATGTACAGACTTCGATCAGCGATGCAAACAGTGGGCGAAATATTGTGGCATTGACGAATATGTGGATGATATGTGTCGATTAACTTGTATGAGATGTCGTTAGAGCTACTAGTTTTAAATCTGTCTTTTGTTGTAAATTCAATGTATACGGTTAGTGCAATATGCTTCACCGTACACATGTGAGCGGTGTTTTTGCACTATTAAGTATTTATGTTGAGGGATTTTTCAATTTAAAGTTTTGTCGTGGTTGTGTCACCTACTACATAATTTATTCTTCAATCAATATTTGAATGAAGGTATGAGTGACTTATTTGAACTTCGAAAAACACTGTGACATTACTCCATTAACTAATGTTTTATAATGCAAAGCCTGACATCTGTGACTGTACTGAAATAAGCGAAAGTATTCAATTCCGAAAGGCATTGTTAGTGCGATAGTCAACAGTATTTGCTTCAGAGTATACAGACCACTTATTTGTGATCCCATTGAAACGAAAGTCACAATGTATTTAAATGTCCTAATTATTTAATTCTCAAAAACTTGTTTGAAGCGTTTTGTATTATTATTAAAGGTACTTTAATCTGCCAATTCCCAGAGCTATTTTCGAATGTTTTCTTTACAAAAAAGAATGTTCGAATCGAAGACGAATAAATGTTCCGAGTCTGTTCATGACACGAAACTTTTGTTTTTATTTTACTTTCCCTTTCTCGGTAATAAAAAGCCTTCCACCATCGTATGGTATTTACATTTTTCTATTAAAACGTCACGCCCGTTCAGTACACACTATACGCACTTTACTAACAGGAGCCTGCGTCTAACACAAAACTCTGCTCTGACAGACTTATGAGGGAGAACAACTGAAATCGACACAACATAAGTTTTACGGTCATCATCACGAATTGATTAACCGAGACGATGTACCTGAACTCACTGGCGACATATTTTCGCGGTCTTACATCTTTAGAAACCAAGAATAGTAGTCTGATCTGTAATATTACTAATTGTATTCTATTCCCGATTATGACATTTTAACTGAGTGTGGATTCGCATGGCGGGTGATGCTTGTATAGCAGGAGACGCTCACCCTGTCGACGAACCCGGTATTGGAATTCATGTGATTCTCTCATTATTTGTTTGTTACCTTGATTTATATCTTTTAATCGATTTATGATCATACCATAGGTAAACTACGATCATAACATAGATAAACTACTGTTGCTTAAAATTATATTCCCTCTCGGCAATATAAACCGCGGGCAGGTACTAGTAGTTTGAATTAACACACACTGATCGCTGGTATGCTAGCAATTCATAAAAAAAAAATCGTGGAGAAATTAGCATACACAGCGATATAACAATTTTATCCAGTAAGTAAATGGCGGAACCTGAAAATCAGATGTGAATTTTGAAAAATTTCAAAGATCTACATGTTCATACAGTCGAAGTCCGTTTCCTCATGATATAGTATTTAAAAAAAAATCAATTCTTAACATAATTACTCTGCTTTGTATAAAGAGATTTTAACCCCTTAATATTTATCAGAGTGTAGAAATATGGAAAGCTGGGCTTCTCCTATGCATCTATGCTAAGGGAGCGTCCGTTTAAGTATGCAGGGTGTATATAAATACGCAGTCACGACTTGGTCAGAATGAGGACGCTAAAATTCGATGCCACGTTCAGATAGAATGCCAAGCTCTCTTCCCGAAAGCATCTTGTAAAAATGTCGATATTGAATGTTGGTATGGTCTAGCAATAAAGAAAAGCAAAAATCAGTAAAATTTCGAAAATGTGTAGGTTCTGTGTCATTTTATTCAAAAATTGGTATCGAGTTCAGTGGCAGATACAAAACGCCTGTAAAGTAATAAATGATAGCCAAGGTATATTTTAGAAACACTCATTTTAAAGCCGTTCCATTAAGCAAAATATCGTTGTAATGTTGAAAATCGCTGTCCATTCTTCATACACGCTTTCGCTGCATGACAAACCGTTTGCCTGATAAGATGTGTTGCCAATGACTTTCTATCTGAGAGTTTTTTGTCTTTATGGCCAAATTTATTTACTTCCTTCTAATACTGACGTTATTGTAAAGCATTCTTGTCTTCCGTGTGTCTTTTGTGATGAAACCTCTGTAATGTTGAAATTCGCATGATTGTTTCGAGTGTAGGCGTCTTTTTGAAATAGGCATTCGTCTACAATTACAAAATACATTATTTTATTATAAATTAAGGAAATATATCTATAAAGTGTAATAACTGAATTTACACAAGAAATGTAGAAGGAAACAGAAACTTATTTTCAGTTTCAGCGGGTTTTGATACTATCTTTCATCAATATCAGTGGGTGGTTTTTATTATGTTTTTATCAATCTAAAACTATCCCTGGAACTTGAAATTGTATTATAAGAAGCATGTTCTATGTGAGACTTGAGAAGATCCTGTAGTTTATGCACAAAAGAAAAATAAGTAAATGATTGCAGTTTAATTAAGAGGTAGGTAAAAGTAAACATGTTATCGGTAAAGACAACAAATGAATTTGCCGTTAGAGCTTAAAGAAAACAAATTTAAGGCTGCATTGATGCGGGTAGAATGATAAAATTTGACCTAACTAGGTTTGTTTCAATATAATGTAAATATTTCTTAAATAAAAAAAGTCCTGCCATCAGACAAAGGACGAATTAAATTAAGTTTAAAGAAAAACATAACTTAAGAAAACGTTTTAAAGCTTTATTAAGGGGGCAATAAGTCAGAGGCAGACAGACAGTATCGGGGCTGAAAAAAGGACCAACAACAATACACAAAAACTGCACAGAACAAAGAAAATCGGCTGCATCAAAATCAACAAATAAATGTTATTGTATATAGATTTAATCACTGTATGGAATCCACGTCTGCTTTAAAGATAAATGATAATATTAGTGGAAAAGTTACGTGATGTGACCTGCAGTCTATATCTGGGTTTAAAAAATGTTAGCGAATTATGAAAATATAAAGAATGATGCTGCCGTATTCACAATACGGTACCTATTTAAAGTGTCAACATTGTCAAATAATTAATTTTAGTGGTGACATTGAAATTGCATGTAATTAAATTAAATGGAAGGTACTTGACACCTGAGATTCCTATAGATAAATGAATTCTCATTGAATAACTGTGAACATAGATGGCAAGTACGCATAAAGACTCTAAAGCACATCTATCAAATGTCAGTACCTTGCTACTCACTATAACAGTGGCTAAGCTTTAACGGTTACCAGGCAAAATACTATATAATTACACTTTTCCAATAAAGTAACACACATTGTGTGATTTTTACATGTTTTAACATTTAAATGAGGATGACACATTGCCAAAAAAACATTTCACCAGAAATTAGAGGTATATTGCAATACCTTTTTGAATACTTTTTTTACTCTTTTGAGGGCTTCGATCATACTGTACATAGTTATTGAAAATAAAGGTCAACATCTTCTGATTCATGTATTTGCCTTTCTATAAATTTGAAATTGTTAGTAATTTTGTTTTTGATCAAATAAAAAAAAAGGAAATTAAACCAATTTTGAAATGAAATATAATATAAATTAATACTGTTTTGGGATTTCTGTTAATTTAAAAGTGGTGTCAGTGATTCTCCATTTCTTATATTTTTCACAAGTGGGAGGGAGGATGGAAAGGGTTATGAACTTTGTCCTTATTTCTCAGGCCAATATTTAAACATTAATTGAACTTTATTTATTGACAGAGATTATAAATTAAAAAAAAATGAGATAAAAATCAAAGACAAACTAGAACGTTGTGGCAAACAAATAAATGGTTAAAGAGAAGCAGTGCTACGTAAGAGTAAGCAGTTCCAGTGTCATAAATCATGTCATTACAGAAATACCAACTGTCAAAAAGTATGTCATAAAAGAACACCGACTGTCATAAATTATGTCATTACAGAAACACCGACTGTCATAAATCATGTCATTACAGAAACACCGACTGTCATAAATAATGCCATTACAGAAACACCGACTGTCATAAATCATGTCATTACAGAAACACCGACTGTCATAAACCACATCATTACAGAAACACAAACTGTCATAAATAACGTCATTACAGAAACACCGACTGTCATAAATTTTGTCATTACAGAAACACCGACTGTCATAAATCACGTCATTACAGAAACACCGACTATCATAAATCATGGCATTACAGAAACACCGACTGTCATAAATACTGCCATTACAGAAACACCGACTGTCATAAATCATGTCATTACAGAAACACCGACATAAATCACGTCATCACAGAAACACCGACTGTCATACATCATGCCATTACAGAAACACCGACTGTCATAAATCATGTCATTACAGAAACACCGACTGTCATAAATCACGTCATTGTCATTACAGAAACATCGACTATCATAAATCACGTCATTACAGAAACACCGACTGTCATAAATCATGTCATTACAGAAACATCGACTGTCATAAATCATGTCATTACAGAAACACCGACTATCATCAATCATGTCATTACATAAACACCGACTGTCATAAATCATGTCATTAAATAAACACCGACAGTCATAAATCATGTCATTACAGAAACACCGACTGTCATGAATCATGTCATTACAGAAACACCGACTGTCATAAATCATATTATTACAGAAAAACCGGCTGTCATAAATCACGTCATTACAGAAACACCGACTGCCATAATAATGCTATTACAGAAACACCGACTGTCATAAATCATGTCATTACAGAAACACCGACATAAATCACGTCATTACAGAATCACCGACTGTCATACATCATACCATTACAGAAACACCGACTGTCATAAATCATGTCATTACAGAAACACCGACTGTCATAAATCACGTCATTGTCATAACAGAAACATCGACTATCATAAATCACGTCATTACAGAAACACCGACTGTCATACATCATGCCATTACAGAAACATCGACTGTCATAAATCATGTCATTACAGAAACACCGACTGTCATTAATCATGCTGTTACAGAAACACCGACTGTCATAAATCATGTCATTACAGAAACACCGACTATAATAAATCATATTATTACAGAAACACCGACTGTCATAAATCATGGCATTACAGAATTACCGACTGTCATAAATCACGTCATTACAGAAATACCGACTGTCATAAATCATGTCATTACAGAAACACCGACTGTCATAAATCATGTCATTACAGAAACACCGGCTATCATAAATCATATTATTACAGAAACACCGACTGTCATAAATCATGGCATTACAGAATTACCGACTGTCATAAATCATGGCATTACAGAATTACCGACTGTCATAAATCACGTCATTAAAGAAACACCGACTGTCATAAATCATGTCATTACAGAAACACCGACTGTCATAAATCATGCCATTACAGAAACACCGACTGTCATAAATCATATCATTACAGAAACACCGACTGTCATAAATCATGTCATTACAGAAACACCGACTGTCATAAATCATATCATTACAGAAACACCGACTGTCATAAA